CCCCCACCCCCTCCTCGTCCCCACGTTTCCTCCTCACGGAGGCGGAGGCGAGGCGGCCTCGCTTATCCCCCGGGCAGAGGGCGTCGTGTCTGCGTCGCGCGCCCGGAGCCCGCCCGGGCCGTGCGGGCTGAGCACTCTTATCCCGTCGTCAAGATCATCTTTTTATGATTTCCCCTCCGCCCTTTCGCCGCGCCCCGCCGCGCCCCGCCCTAAGCCTCCCCATTACGCCCCTTGTTCCCCCAGCACGCTGCGTCGCCTCGCGTCGCCTGCTCACGTCGCTATCTGGAGCCGGCTGCATGGCCTGCAGACGGAACGCTGGAAGGGTGACCCAGAGGCCAATCGCTCGGGTAATTGTTTCGATGCCGCTTTGTTCGCTTTGCTCTTTCTCAGGCCGGTCGTTAGACATGTCGGGGGGGGGGGGGCGTCTTGCTCCCCCGGCTGACAATCCTCCCGGTAAACGGGCCTCTCCTCTCCCGGCCCGGCCCAGACAGGTGCGCTTTGTGTCTAACGTGTGTTAGTGGCTGTGGGGCCCGACCCCGACGCGACGGTGATGAGACCGAGCCACACGGCCACACGTGGAACCTGTCGCCCGCCGCCTGCCTGTTGCTCGGGGCCGCTCGGGGCCGCTCGGGGCGGGCGCCTCGACGGCTACGGCGGGCGCCAGACCGAAGCGACCGACGTTGTAAAGTAAAATGTCTTAAAAAATTAGAATGTCATGGCTGTCTTTATATCATCTTTTTACAACCATCCTATTACAGATTTGTATGTCAATCCCATATATCTGTGTTCATGGGGCCAAAAATGAAATCTGCAGTGACATGGTTGGAAAAAAAAGGAAGAAGCAATTGACTTTTTTTTTCTTTTCAAGACATTGCTTTTTTACAGTGCATGAGGGGGTGACGGATTTTAACCGTGTCAGCCGTGTGACAGGTGTTCACCGAGACTCCCCTGCACGTCGCCTCTGCCCTGGGCTCGGCCCAGTGCGTCTCTCTCCTGCTGGAGCACGGTGCGGACGTCCGGTCGCAGTTCGGCCCCACTAGGTAAGTCCCAATAACGCGGGCTGCTTCGCGGCTACGCGAGGGGTTATTTCGTGAATTGAGCCCTCGTTAACGTAGTTGGGTCGGACTAAGTGGCTACTCAGTGACCCGAGCTCCTGGCGTGCTCCTCCTTAACAAGGAACGTTATAGACTTTATACAAAGGCCGTCTTTGAACTCCAGCGGGTAAATTAGAGAGAGGGGGGGTGAGAGAGGGAGAGAGGGTGAGAGGGAGAGAGGGAGAGAGAGAGAGAGAGAGAGAGAGAGAGAGAGAGAGAGAGACGGAGGTGCTGCCGGCATCACGTGTCGCCAAGATGAACTGTCGTTGTCTGCAAACGTTTGTCTACTTGATGTTCGGCACGGAACGTGTCTTCGAATCGACAACACACTCCCCCCCCCCCCC